TTTTTAATATTTTGATTGAGTATAACATTAAATTTATTTGTAATTTAAAATATTATTTTTTTTAGTATTTGTAGTTGAATTAGAATTTATAAAAATATAATATTTTTTTTTGTCAATCTATTTTTGATTGCGTCATTGATAGTCTGTCATTCTTTATACATTCTCTTAGATTAGATAGTTTTTTATAAGGTGGCCTAATTTAAACAATGAAATACGCAATTTAGAATGTAATTTTTTTAAGATACAATTATAAAAAATTTGTCAATATTATGCAAGATGTTTTATTTTCTTAACTAGAATATGATATTTATAATGTTTGGAAAAAATGATTAGATTATAGGATGACTTTAAGAAAAACACGTAAACAACAATTGAGTGGAGACTATAAAGAATGATGTTGTTCGTGTCTTTCTTAAAATCGTCCTATAATTTTGAAAAAATTATTAGATTGTTTGATGATTTTAAGAAAAAGGCGAAATAACAATTGGGTGGAGACTAGAAAGATATCATATTATAACGTGTCTTTTTTAAAATCGTCATGTAATTTTGAAAAAATTATTAGATTGTATGATGATTTTAAGAAAAACACGTAAATAACATTGGGTGGAGACTAGAAAGATCATATTGTTGGCGTGTCTTTCTTAAATTTGTAAATACATTTAGAATAAAATATCTTGGGCGATATACGGGAAATTCATTTTTCCAATGCATTATTTGGATAGTTTTATCATATATTGATTCATTAATTAATTTAAATCAATAAGTAAATTAATAATCAAATCATTGACGGGTTTACACTTTTATCATGATGGACAAGTGCCGCTCCTAGAATCTGAATTTACTACCTATAATTTTTATTTTATTAATCCATATCTATTTGTACTCACTCCCGTACAAAAGAAATATTGTATTGTTTTTAAAATATCAAGTGTATAAATTCGTCTCAAAACTTTAAAGGGTAAACTACAAATTTCATCATTAAACTTTACTCTCTCTCCTATTTTGTTTACTAAACTTTAAAAGTTTCCAATTTTCTCATTGAACTTAATATATTGGATTTTTTTTGTCACCCGCCGCTAATAGTTGATGGCGTTAAACGATGCCGTTTTCACGAAATAAAATTCATCAAAACAACTCGTTTTGTATTATATAACTATCCATTTATAATGTCGTTAGTGAGAAAATGATTGACTGAACAAAAACTCTATGTAATAAGTTCAGTGAGAAATTGAAAAGATTCAAAGTTATGTGAGTGAAATAAAATATAGAGTAAGCTCATTACCAAATTATAATTTACCCAAGTTTAAAATGTATATAAAAAATAGTTAATTGCACATATGACCCTAACCTATACCCTCATTTTAAATTGATCCTAAACTTTTTGAATATTCTAATTTCATACTCAAACTATGACTCGTTTTAAATTGATCTTTGAAATTTTGAACATTCTAATTTCATCCCCTAAACTATGACCCTCTTTCTAATTTAGTCTCCAAACTTTGAATTTCTAATTTCATCCTTAATTCATCCAAATATGTAATTAGTTTCAACCATAAATAACCTAAATTTTGTTTTTTCCAAACATATAATTATAACTTTGCCTAATTTTATTAGCAAGAGATTTGATTAGTATACACGTATAACTTGTGATGAAATTGGAATGTTAAAAAATTGGGGACTAATTTGAAATGAAGTCATAGTCTCGAGATGAAATTTGTCAAACTTAAAAATAGGCCTAAATTTTCTTAAACTTTTTCGAGGACAAAATTGAATTTTAATTAAATTTAGGGACCAAGGTGAATTTTTAGTTAAATTGGATCCAAATTTAAAAAGCAACTAAAGATGGATGACTATGACATATTTTACCATTTTTTTTTGGTTTATATAACCCCAAATATGGAGAAAAAATTAATTAATTTTTATCTCTCTATCAAAAATTTCTATTTTAGAATGAAAACTTTGATCGTTGATTCATCACCGACCGTTATTTCCGTTTTCGACACTCCCACACCATCGTGTTTCTTGCGTCGTCCCGAGTCCACTGTGTTCTTCTTGTCTTCGTTGTCGCCGACGTAGGAGGTGAGGAAGATAAAATTTCTGACGTTTCTGAATCGAGCTCTCCGCCGTTTACCGTTGTGAATCGAGCTTGGTAAGCATCTCAAAACCCCTTAAAATGCATTTAAAAATTTTTAGAATTTTTCCAACCCCGTAGGCCATGCACGCGTCGTCCCCACGCGTCGCCCTGCACGTGGGGAAAGTCTATCGCCTGGTGGACTGCTTGGAAATGGGTCGATCCGACTCGACCCACTGACCCAACCCGTTGACCCGTGTACGACCCATCTGCCCGACGATTTGACCCGATCCAACATGACCGTTGACTTTGATCCAAAAATTCAATTTTTTTCGAAAAAAACATTTTATATTATTCGCGTCATTAGTATGATTCTGAAGTCCGTTTTGCCAAATTCTAACCCGAAAGCCCCGAATTGAGTCCGTTAATCCGAAAATGCTTAGTATTTTTAGCATTTTTGTTTATTTATTTGAGATTTGGTTATGAAATTAATCCAGAAATATTTTTATGAAAGTACTCGTATTTCACCTAACCGAGAGTCAGTTAGATCCGGTGTTTCCCGTCCGTCAATCCGCTCGATCTGCTCGAGAGTTATCCGTATTTTCCGTAAATTGTTTAAATAAAGGCTAATCTTATTCATATTAGGATTCCGATATAGATTTTTTTGATTTGTAGGATCTAGCGCTGCTGCTGATCGTGATCGACAGACTCAGTGTAGGCTTCCCTATCAGACTATTTAGACCGATACAAGTGTTTTTGTTACTGTTATATTACGTTTTCAACTATCTGTCTGAACTGTTGAGATTTATGACAATACTGAATATTTTTACGACACAATACCTAATTTCTGAACACAATTTATTTGATATTTGATTTATTGTATATTTCTGATATGATCTCTGGATTATCGCATTTTCGTATCTGATTTATGAAAATGGAATATTTTCATTTTTAATGGATTAAACTGTCGTTTTCATTTGACTACATCATGTTATTGGGGTTTTATTGGAGGAAGCGTCTCAGGCCTAGTCTATGATTTGTAACCTTACCGCTTTCCGTAAGCTCATCGCTTTGTGCTCAGAATAAGTCCTTACTGCAGGCTCCTCGCTTTGTGCTCAGGGTAAGTCCTTACTGCAGTCTCCTATACTTTGTGCATAGGATGAGATCCTACTACATGCTCCTCTATTTTGTGCACAGGGAAAGCCCTTGCTGGGTGTATGGTTCTGGAGAACTTACACATTCTGGTGATCGGACAGGGTAGTGTTCTTGTTTTTAAACATGTTTGATAAACTGATTTTACTAAAATATTTATTTGTATGTTTTTATACACCGTAAGGAGCACACTGAACATTTTAGCTCATTCCGTAAATTTTAACATTTTCAGATAATAGACGAGGCTAACAGACTTGGCATCAGGAGGATCGACTTCTCCTAATTTTGTACCACTGTATATTTTTATATGTCTTTCTGTTATATTTTGGTGACATGTGTTTTGCTACTGTCTTGATATATATATATGTCGGTATTTTGTTCCATAAATGTTTATACGGTTTTCTGATATATGTATATATGTTTATCATATGAATCCTTATTATGGATAAATTTCATATTATATTGTTTATATGATTTTAACGTTGTTTTAAATATAAAAAGAAATCTGAATAAGATATGTGACCATCTAGATTTGGGCATAACGTCCAAGTCGGGTCTAAGGGTTACAAAATTAGAATATTTAAAGTTTAGGGACCAATTAAATTACGTGTCACACTTTGAGGACATGTGATACAATTAACTCATAAAATATTAAAAATTCAAATAATTAATTTGAACAAATGATAAATACAAATAAATATTTGTTGTTAACAATGAAAAAATACAATTAATATTGGCCTATATTCGATGATTGTGAATACTTATAAATATCAAACTTAGATTCAAATAGAAATAGATCAATAAGAAATAAAATAAGAGTCATTTGAAGAAAAAATATAAAATATATATTATCAAAATATTATAAAAATATAAAAACATGTTACGAGAATAAAAAGAAAAAAATTAACTAAAATAATAATATAATTTAAATTATAAAAAGAAGAGAAAAAAAGTTAGCTATAGACAATTGTTCAAGATTGTTGTTGTTGATAAAAAATATATTTTTTAATTTTGAAATTAGATAACTATGCATCTAATATCTAAACTATCAGTTATGATCCATTTTAATACTTAAACTTCATTTTTTTTAAAAATCATACCTAACATTTAATTTTTGTTTCATTTTATTATCCTATTGTTAAAAACTTAACATTTAGTACCTAAACTATTAATTTTGATCATTTTAATACTTAAACTTTCAATTTTTTTTCAAAATTTAACGTTAAATTTTAACGAGTACCAAAATGAAACAAAATTAAACATAAGTATGGTTTGAGAAAATTGAAAGTTTATACTAAACAGATCAAAACTGATACTTTAGATACTAAACTCGTAATTTACCTTTTAAAATTTTAAAGAAATTTTATATTTTATATATTTATATAACGTTACTTTTTATATCGGTAGCGACCTTAATTTTATTATCTCAAAGATTAAAATTTCCTGTTAGGTTTTGGTATAAAATTCCCAATCTTCTCTTCGTGATTTGCTGTGTTTTTTGAAATATGGCAGGGAGAGAAGTTCGTGAGTACACCATCTGACGACCCCAAAGGCAAGTATGGAAATCGAAACTTGAATGGAGGCTTACTGATTCCTTCTTCTTCTTTTACTGATGAAAAGCTTAATTGCAGATAAAAAGTGGGGGAAAGGAAAGGACAAACTGGACGATGAAGATATTGCTTTCCAGCGTATGGTTGCCAAGGTTAGAGCGTCGCCTCTCCCATGTTTGGATATCTTTTGTTTTAATGGAATGTGCACTTTGTAGCATTCCTACTCGGCATTTCAGTGAAACAAGCCCTAGTTGTCCATCGGAACAAATTAGCTTTTGTTATTCTCTCTATTTAATATGTAAAAGCATTCATTCGAGAGTAAAAAACCCATTATCAATTCACCCCATCTCGTTTCTTTGTTCTTATACTTCACACTGGATAGCATGTAACCGAATCGAAAGATTACGAGACTCCATTTGTTTTGCTGAAAATAACTCATGGAATCTCAGTTTCTCCTTGTTATGGCAGAAAATTAACTGGTCAACCTAATCTTTTTAATCCTCAAGATGCTTTTGAAAAGAGAGAAAACTACCCAATCTCTTGGTGTCATGAAAGACCCATGGCACTCGACACTCGCAGCACAAAGCCTTTCGTTGCCAACCATCCACTAACACCTCCGATTTTACCCACCGAAAACAGTCCTCTCCTTTTTCTCATACTCCTGTACTCTCCCTACTATTCATGTACTTGAGAATCTAATGGCAGCTTGTTGGGTTTTGCTGTAGAGGATTATTAATTTAGGGTTCAGAATATGGATAGGGTTTTGAAAATAGCATATAACAGAATGTTTTCAATAGTTTCTTCCAGAGAATAAAATCTTCAAACGTTACAGAAAAAAAGCCCCCCCAGGTGTGTGAAACATGCATCACCTTAATTTTCACGATTTTGCTTGATATTTTAATCTGTAGCTCTGTTTAATGGTATTTCCATCAATCACTTCAATTATCTCAACTTTCCTTTGCTGCTAATGCCAGTTGTATCATTTAAAGTTCAAGGTTCAATTAGAAATTCGATTTAAGGTACTAGAGTGTGTTTGCAAATTGTTTCTATATTTTTTTGACTAATAGAGTTGTACCATTGCATGCTGTACCTTGTATGATCTGAACTTGGGTGAGTAATGAATATGACTCTGTATCTAATAAGGGTATTTTAATTTTTTTCCTTAGTTCTCCAGCATATTATATGAGGTTTGGATCTTTTTGCTCATGGATGTCCAATATGTGGTGGATGCTAGTACTTCAAAAAATAAAAATAAAAATGAAGAGTTAGTAACATGTATCACATCTTTAACAGTGTTAGGACTAGTAGTAGAAGCAATGATTCTATTTAGGGGTGAGCAAAACTCGTCTCGATTCGAAAAACCGATTTTTTAGATTCAATTCGATTCAAAAAAACTTGACTCGAATTGACTTCGAGTTGTAATTTCATAAACTCGATTCGACTTGAAAAAATTTCAAGTTCAAGTAGTGTTATAAAATACAACTCAAATAGAAACTCGAATTTTTTAGTAATTAGTGAATTAATTTTAAAGTTTGAGTCGAGTCTCTCGACTCTGTATGATATATGTATATCACATATGAAAAAAATATGAAGAAATATATATGTATTATATATGGTTATAAAGAACCATTTAAATTGGAATCAAATAGTATCATAATATTATATATATTTACAATTAAATTTAGACAAATTTGAAAACTCGGCTCAACTCAAAAAAATATCAAATGAAGTCTGAGTTATAAAATAATGACTTGTTAACTTGAAATTTTTTGACTCGACTCGATCAAACGCTCACCCCTAATGCTATTTGTGATAATTTTAGTAATTTACTTGTGCAATTAAATCTGGCTGGCATCAATTTCTTGCTATAAATACAAAAGTCGTGGTAGTTTTCTGATAACATGCCCTGGCAGGGAACTTGGCTTCTCCCACTGGGCTTTTGATACGAGCAGATGCAAGAGGTTGCCGGAGAACGAGGAGGCTACCTACATGGGCGGGGAGGTAGCTCTTCTTTCTCTGCCCCTACATCTTGAGATAGATTTTTCTTTTGGTAAATCTACATATTATCATGTATTGTTTTTGCAGCTTTGGACAGTGATGATTTGCTCTATCTCAAGGAGCAGATGGAAGCAGAGGAGGATGCTGAACGCCTCCTGCGCCGCACTGAGAAACGGGCATTTGCAGCATTTAAGATATCCTTTAATGTTCAGATAAATAAACCATATATGTGATATACTAGTTTGATTCTTTTTTGTCATTTTGCTCCGCATTGCATGTAGATTTTGAGCCTTTTTTTATGTTTTACGTGTGGCAAACATTAATTCAATTTGCTGCCACATGCTTTTAGAGAGTTGGTTTCTTGTCATATTTTATTATATTCCTGTCATTTGGCAGAGCATGTTACCTGCTCTTTGTTACCTTCTTCCAATTTTATATGCCACTTGGTAATAAACATAGGATGGACATGAGTTTGTTTCAAGTATTATGTGCTGAAATATGTAAGTTCATCCTTGCAACTTTTATTCATGAAGAGTTCTTGATTATAAAAGAAAATAAAAGTTATTTTGTTTTGTTATGGTGTTCCTCACATTTTAGATTTGCCCATTTTAGGTTGACGCAGAGCACAATTGTGTAGTGTTTCTCTGCTTTGCTTTAATTTTGTTGCAAACTGAGCTGTAGATCCCCCAGTTGAAAGTAATTGATCATTTTCTTGAACTTGCGTTCATTTGAGTTTCTTGTTTGCAATTACTGCTTTAACATAGACATCATTATCAATAAAATTCCGCCTTCCTGTTTTGCAAGTCCCAGAATTCTAGCATTTATTTCCACTTTGTTTTCTCAGTTGCATTAGATTACTTGACGAGTTTTTTCATATCGAACAAAGTGTACAGTTATACCGTTGAGCTCTGTTGTTGGCACCCAGAAGTCTGCCCCTTATTTGGTATTTGTTTTATATTGGTCCTCACTTTTTCTTAACCATTGAACACAAAGCTGCAAGTTTAGCAGATTCCTCACCTGCATCATTTCCGTTGCCTCGTCGAGTCGAACCCAAGCCAAAGAGTGGAATCAGGTCTCTCTTTACATAAACCTGCAAGACCACATTCCTTGTGCACTTGTAAAATATTTGTAGTTTATTTTTGGAACTGTTTTGTTATCATATTGTCTAGTCACCACTTTCAGTTGGCTTCTTTGTTATGCAGACAGCATGTTTTGCTGAAAAAAGTTGTGGAAGTTAAACCGAAACGCACCAAATTTTCAAGCCCCTCCGACTCTGCGCCCGAGGGAAATAGTTCCAATATACAATCCCGGGGGCAGGAGATCGTACACGAGAAGAATGAGCATCATGTTTCGGAATCAAATACAACAGGAAAACAGACTAGGATGGAAAATCCTGCCAAATCATTATTAGGTTTAACCTATGCGAGTTCTGATGATGATGATGATGATGATTGATGAAGACTAATGCTTTGCATGCATTTTCAGTTGTAATCTACATGACCATGATGGCAATCGTTTTTGTTCTCCTTTTGTAATAGGTTTAATATCATATTTGACCTTGTATTATCTCAAAATTGATTGGCAAGCAACCTTTTGAAAGCAATCTTTTATGATACTTGGCTGAAATGAAACAAGCAATTTGCAAGGAAATAGAATATACAAGATATCAATTAGATATTGAAAAAAATAGTTGTAATACTAATAAAGATATAAGATTTATATAAATATGGACGGAAGAGAAAAATCCTCTGTTCAGAAGGAGTGCAAAAAGATCCACGTTTAAAAAATAATTTAGGGTTTGAACAACTTGCTTTTAAACTCTAATCCTTGATATCTATCTACGGAAATAAATTAAAATAAATTTCTAGTTTAAGAAGGAAACTTGCATAAAAAGAAATATAATCAAATTGAGTTATATACTGTTTATCAACGTGCAAATGATCCTCATTTTAACCTATGTTTTAAATGAGTTATTTATGTATTTATTTATAATCATCTCAAATGTAATCAAAAATAAAAATTGGATCACGTAATTCTAACATCAGTCGTAAACATTGGATAAAGAGAGATAATATATGGAATTCTACAAACAATCATAAAGTGTGCACAGAGTTATGAAGATAGAGAATACAGACTTTGATTTCTTGTTATTATCATAACAACAATAATGCCCCAAGTGATTACATCCAATCAGAGAAACTAATTCCTATTTCATAAGAGAAAATGTCTGATATCCTGCAATATATATAATATTTGCATCTTATTTCAAAGAAACATAATTAGCCAATTAATGTGTGTTATGTGTTGACCATCACCTGGAAGATATTTTAATGTTTAAATAAAATTAATTTAGATATTATAAATGGGCAGTGTTAGAAGCTTCGACTCCAGTCCATGCATCATCAGTGATAAACTGCATCCATGACTCATCTTTATCATTATCTTCTTCCTCTTCCATACATAAAGACGAGGAGGCGCCTAAAGGCGGCTCCTGCGAGTAGTCTTGATCCGCCACAGATGAACTACACCGCCCTTGCGCTTCCATTTCCGATCCTATCGTCCCGTTTTTCTTGAACACCCGACATAGTGCGTAACCATCCTGCCAATATGAACATGATCCGGCATACATAAAAAGCAAATCCAAATTGGATTATAACAGTGTTTTGGAATAAAGTAACATATACAATAGCCCCCTCTTAACTGTAAGGAGGGCGAAAGAATGTATGATTTTACATTAAAGAAGAAAATAGATTTTTAATAAAAAAATACAAAAAATATTCAAATTATATGAAAATTTAAAATTTTTAAAGGACGGTCGTTTTTCACCAACCTCTTTCGATCCGTCCCTAAGTGGCGGTATATACTAATAGATAATAATAGTGATGCAACTCTACATTATTTATCAGAGACAAAAAAGAGAGTAAATTAATAGCATTTAGGTCTCACAGGATAATGCTTTTGTCTTGTTACAAAAGGCAAAGTGAGACGAAACTTTTCCAAACTTTAGAGATCAATAAGAGCAAGCAACGAATATTTCACCCATTCTTGTATAGATTTAATCATTTTGAGAAAGAAATTCGGTGGCTAATATTAAATAAATACTCATTAAGAAATTAGGTTTAATACTAAAGAATTCTCGACACTCTTGGCATCATGAATAGATATGTCCCGGATATTTTCAGGTCTCTAAGCGAAAACTCAATAAATAAAAAGAAACCCTAGTTTATAATATTATCAAATATATTATTTTGTGAAGGTGGAATGTGAGGAACTGAGCTAGAGTTCATACTACTCTCCCTATAAGTCAGCTTTGATTTAAGAATCTAATCTTTCTAAGTCTAATTTGTTAATCAAAACATAGTATATAATCAGAGATGGACGACCGACGTTGGATTGCAATTACACCCTTAAAAATTTCATGCCATTCACATAAAATTTTATATTCGGACCTATATATAACAGGAATAAAACAAAAAATGTAGATATAAAACACGACCCGTGCATTAGGGGTGTTCATTGTTCGGTTTTAATTGAATTAACCGACCGAATCAAAATTTAGTTTGATTAATTGATCAGTTAATTTGATATTAAGTCGATTAACGATTAAGAAATTTTTCAAAGCTCGGTTATCGGTTAATTCGATTCAAAATCGGTTAATTAACTAAACTAACCGAATTAACTGAAATTTTTAAATATTAAATATTTTAAGCTCAAACCTTCTAAGAATTAATATCCAACTATTTTTTAATCTCACTAGGCCTATTAAATATCCAATCAAAATTTAACCTAAATAAAGAAAAAAACACCTCTAATAAATTCAAACTAGTCTAACTAAAAAAATTACAAAAGATTTCAGTTGATTCGGTTAACCGACTGAATTAGCTGTATTTCGATCGATTCGATTAAAATTTTTTGAAAAAAATTAATTTGGTTAATAGTTAAAGAGAAAAAAAATCGATTAATAAATTTTGAGTAATTCGATTCAGTCGGTTAACCGAACCTACAGATTCACTACTACCATGCCATGCTAGAGCAGATATTTTCATCACTAATGTTCAGTGTATTCATGCAATGGTGAATAATAATGTTAATTTAGTAAAGCAAGCAACTGATGCACCAAGTACCTGAATTCCGCAGGTGTCCTCGCTTTCATTATCGTCGAGACGATATTCATGCATTACCCAATTTGTTCTGATTCCCTGAGGGGCACGGCCACGGTAGTAAACCAAAGTCTTCTTCATTCCGATGGCTCGATTCTGGCAACAAACTCTCCTGTCCTTCCCAGTAGACTTCCAATATCCTGCTGTCGTCGCCCTGTTCGTCCGGAATCCATTCGGGTATTTTCGGTCACGGGGTCCAAAGAAGTACCACTCCGGATCTCTACTCGGAAAAAATGATTTCTCTGTCAAATAATACATAGGACAATGGTTCACATTTTCAGCAAAATTCCACAAGGGAAACAAGAATAGAAATGAAGAAAACATGTTCCTGCCAATGACACGACAACTTATACTAGACATGGAACAATGCAGAAATTTATGTTAACAAGTATGAATTTAAGGAGTTATATTAAAAATTTAAAAAACTACGAAATTACGTAATTTAAGAGCGCGAAATGAGAGGAGAAGGAGATTTAAATTTTCTAGAAATACGACCGTATTCCGATACCTCTCTCGACCCTGATACTAAGAAAAGGAGGAGGAGGAGGAGGATAAGACCTGCTAATTCCCATGGTTCGGATTTGTAGAGATTGACCTCGGGGATGATGTCGAGTTCGATTTGTAGCCTATTTATTTTTCTTTTGAGATAGTAGTTCACGAGTTCTTCGTCAGTGGGATGAAACCTGAAACCAGGAGGTAATCCGAGGGGAGCCATTTCTTTTACATACCATCATCCAATGGCTGCCATCATCATTGCTATATAAAAAAGTGGTTTATTTTTCACTTTTTCTCTAACAAATTCTTTGACAAACGTTCCTCACAAGTCTTTTCAGTTTCTCACAGTTCCACTGCTCCAAATATTAAATAACCAGCGTCAAAGACCAACTCTGGCTTTTCTTTAAAGACATCTGTTAAGAATGAAAGGCGGAGAGAATATTAAAAATACATAATAAACTTATCTTTCAATGTTTACACAAATGATCCTTTGTCTTTCATTCTTGTTTTAGATTATTTTAATCTCTAACTTTTAATTTTTAGTCAAAGCATATTCTCTTGGATAGAAACAGTTAGTTGATTAACGATTAATATATGTTGCCGACGTGATATTTTCATATATATTCAATTGTTGTCACATCACCCAAAGTGATGATATGGAATGTACCACATCAATCATTGAACACGTGGAAATGTCATGTAAGTAACATATGTTGATTGTTAGTCAGCTAACGATTTTCATTTAATATGATTGTTTTGACCAAAAATTAAAATACTTCACAAAAGAAAAAAAAAATACATAACAAAATGACTATTTGTGCAAAAGTTGAGAATAATCTTAAATGATTGTAACCAACTTGTGTTATATAAAAATAGACTTTGTATAGAAGATGATATATTTTGATTTGTACCATTAGTTAGCGTATATATTTAATGAAGTTATTGGTGTATTCAGATTAAACCAGGGCTTGTGTTAAAATAGGAAGTAAATCACACGTAATTTTAGTTGTAAATTTATCTTCAGGGAACGGAGTCAAGATTTTAATTCAAAATGACAAGATATAACTAGTAATATAAAATGAAAAAGACAAAATCAAAAATTTTCTTATATATTTTTTAATATTAAAAAATTAAGAGGTTGTGATTTCCAACACTATACATTGCTTCGCCCCTACTTATCTTTTTATTTTTAACACCAACATAACCATGTCATTGTCCCATTCTTTATAAATATTTCCAGCTCCTTATTTCTTCTTGTTGGAGTGGCACCACCGCTTATGTTTGTGCAGGTTGAGTTCCTTTATCATCCGTGTTGTTTATGACACATCGAACTCGATTTATTAGTTTCAGATATCACATCAATTATCAAAATGATTCGAATCAATTTTTATATTTAAAAATTATAAATTATTCATTCAAGAAACTATCAAAGTCATTCAATAATGTTTGAAAATCAAACATACATATCCTGGAATAAACAAATGATTGTCCGGTTAATTACATGTTAAAACAAACTCAAAATAGCCTAAAATATTCATTTTAGAGATGAGGTATCCATACTATCAACAAAAAGTCATCACTAAAAGCTTGAAACACGAGTAATGATACCATGAGTACGGTATCTATACTTTTTGAAGGTACTGATACTATTTTGAGATTCGAGGTTTAAAATATCACAAAAAAATATATTGGAATCGATACTACACATAAGATATCAATAGACGAGTTCAATAGTGATATCTCATCACCGATATCGATACTTAGACCCATAATTGCAGGTTCAAGTGCATAAATTAGAACAAAGTGATTACAAATCATGCTTTACTAATGCTCCTAATAATTTGCCAACATACTTCAAACCTACCAAACATGTCAACGCAACATTCAAACCTATTTAACCACACCATAGCAAAAATTTAGCATACCATGCAAATGTAAGCCCTAAAATGCATTCTAAAGTGCACAAACAAGAACCTAATACGTCAAAATGAGAAAACAATGGTCATCTATCATTTCTATCAACTTTCTAAAAACTAAATCATCATTTCAAACTTGTCCAAGCAAAGTTTTTAAGAATTCTACTGAATAATTAAAAACTTATCCAAGCAAAGTTTTTAGTGCATGTATATGCCTGATTTTTTAAGAATTCCTACTGCCAAGAAACATAACTGACTTGCAAGCTTTCATAGATAACCAGATTGTGAATATTTTAAGAATTCCTACTGCCACGAAGATTGCTTGTATCCATCCCATCCACCCTCAGGTTCCTTTCTTTTGAAAATGCCACCTGGTGCCAAATACATTCTTGCTTGCTCCTCTGCCGGGGACAGTGAACCGGCAACAGATAGTTGCCTAGGTACAAGAGGTGTTGTCTCGTCTCTTCCTTCAATATTTGAGCCACTAAGACCGGCATTTAAGTCAGGACCTTGCCTTCCCCATTTCCTACCACTCTCAGCACCACTACTATTACTACCATCAGGAAGGTTAACGATATAGGGTCTTGGGAAATGGAACGGAACTGCACTAGCAGGTCCTAACAATTGTGAATGGACAGTTGGGAAAGGAAGCCTCCCAGCAGATGAATCAACATAAGTTGTTGAACCACCAGAAAAGCTGGTTGAAGGAAGAGGAAATGTTTTTCCAAAGGGGAGCACAGGATACTGGAACGGGGTCTCTGGGAACTGCACTGCTGGTGAAGATGATAACACAGGTCCCCTGTATACATCAGTACCGAAAGGGGTGGCACCATTTGTGGGACCCAACACCATTTGGGGCCCACTAGTTGCTACCATTAGAAAAGGCTGTTCCCTATCCGTCAAGATTGATGGAATCCTAGAAGACAAATTTGCTATCTCAGTATTGTTTATCTGCAGTCTGGGAAATGGTGGTTGAGATGCCATGTTGCTGCTTCTGCCATGTTGACTAAATGGTGATGGCTCACAACTCACTTCATCAACAACCGGTCCATTGTTCAAATCAAATCTCTGTGCAACCTTGCCTCAACATTAAGAATACCTCCAGTTGAAGATGGTGAGATAGGCTGCATAAAGACTTCAAGTCTATGATTATTGCCAATTGCGTGATTAGGCATATTGGCAGGCTCGTCAGCTCTGTTCAAATCAAGATCAAGTCCCCCAGAGGGTCGAATGGGAGCAGAACCCATCAACCCACATGTTAAATCATGATTATTTGTAAGATCTGGTGCACAGTATTTTCCCTGAGCAGAACTTTGGGAAGCTAAATCCTCTAGGACTCCCTCATCAGGTAAATTCAAATCTATGTCCAATGGAGGACGACTTTGTTTCCCAGAAGTAGCATCAGGACTGGAAGTTTTACTTGAACCAAGAGGTATATCCAAAGTCTTTCTGGGTTCAGCTGGCCGAAATGCACTTGTGGCTGCTGACCCCTTCCAACCAAAGGCCCCTTTACTCCTCGGTAGGTCATCTGGGGGAACAAAGTGCCCCTTTGCAGCAGCAGCAACAGTAATTGAAGCGGGAAGGCCACTAGATACAGAAGAAACAGGAAAAGGAAGTGGGCTAATTAATTGGACAGGAGCTGAACACCCTGGTGGTGTTAAATTCTTCATTTCCCCAAATTTCCCCTCATGCACATTAAAACCTTCATTCAAGTAAAATTCTTCTTTCGCATCAGTATCTGCACTATCTGTAGCATGAGCATATGTAATGGTTGATGCATGTTCTTCAGCTTCATCTGCTTTGGCATCAGTCAACTTGGATCCCCTTGGCCTTAGTGGTAGTTCTGGTTCCATTACTGAGGCTGATACCTTACAAGGAGATGGTGCTTCGGGTTCACAATCCTCATTACCTTCTAAAATCTCCTGCACATGCTCACCTTTCTGGGTAGGGGTAGCTGAACCAAAACCGACACAAATTACTAAGGATGAATGGTATGATGCAAAGAAAAAAGTAAAAAGGACAAGCACTCCAAATTTAAATAAGAAACCAATAAGACAATAAGCATTACTTAAAAAGGTATAACAATAAGTACTTCACATTAAAATAACACATCAATAAGAGCATAATCCTTACTTTTCCACTCGGGCTTTTGCTTCTCACCGTGACTAGCATGGCAATGTGCATCAGCCTCAACATCCTTCTTAACCTTTTCATCAATGTCCTTCTCAACCTTTTCATCAACATCCTTAGAGCTGAGAGGCAATGCTTCTTTATCTGTTCCTTTGGTGGAATGTCCAATAACAGCTGGTGCCTTCTGACGAGACTGTGAACTTCTGTCAAAACTACCGGGGACATTTTTCTGGTGCTCAACATCAATTTCCACAGAAAGTAAAGATGAAGATCCTTCAACCACTTCTTCCTCAACATCCAGAACTGTGTTCGTGACCACTTCATCTACCAAAGAAATACTCCCCTTTTGTTTAGTATCAAAACCTGCATCATCATCCACTCCACCAGCCTTTTTCTCCAGATGCTCTTTGGAATCCCCAATATCAGTAATCATCTCCACGAAGCTGACTGTGGATGAATTGACTAAAGCAGCTGTCATAGTTTCCTTCAATTTACCATTTTCAAGAAATTGGTCTGCAGTATCTGGCAGACCCATATTTGATAAAGTTAAATGTTCATTTAACTCTCCAGATTTTTCTTGAGAGGAACCAATCTTGCTGTCTGCATGATCAGGCTCTGAATTACCTACAACTACACCCTGCTTTAAATGCTCGTCATCTGCACCCTCAACAAACTGATCTGGATCTTGAATGACCTCATCCCCAGCAGAATATTTTAATACTGTACCATTGCCTGTGGAAGAGTTCTTGACAACATGGGTATTTCTTTGTTGAGAATCAATTAGTGAAGCCACATCTGATTTAGAAATCTCTTCAGCAATTGCATTGGCAAGCAAATTCATTCCAGCATCATCCTCAACTGGCATGCACGCATCTGCTTCAGAGTATTTGGCACAGCTCTCAATTAAAGCGTTCATCGAGCTGAAAGAAGCCTCCTGCAGTCTTTCTGATTTAAGTTCATTTCCAGAAGATGACAAAGCCGTTTTTGTAACATCAATTGATTTCCTGGCATCTTCTCTGGTCTGACAGTTTTCTTCATTGGGAACAGCTGCAGCTGAACCATCTCCTTCACCACACCCAGTCTGCAGATTCTTGAAGTCATTGCTCTGCCAAGATTCAGTGTGGACATCAGTGATTACATTTTCCCTGTAAGTATCAGTCTTATCCTTCATGTTACGATCTAACTGTTCATGCTTCTCTGAAATAACAGGAGAAGAAGCTCTGTTCATGGCCGAATGACCGTCAGGAGATCCTCCACCGGTATTCTTTGCTGGACTTCTACTATGATTAGGGACCTTAACAACAAACTTATTAGTACCCTCAGCCATAAGAGAATCTACTGCCTTTTCAAATGTTAAGCCAGACTGTGATATTTTTTCAGAAGCAGGAGTCTTGTGAAGTGAAGAAATTTTACTTGATATTTCCCTCTGAACACCCGATAGCCCTGAGAAACCATTAATGGATTGTCGATGCCGTGAAGAACTACCTGAAATCTTAGTCACTGTTCCTGAACCAGCTGCAAAATTTCTTGCATCTTCCATTCTTGAAACTCCCGCAGTCTTTGCATGATCAGCAGAACACAACTGACTATTGCTGTGGGACTGACTTGAACTGCTGCTTTTCTCATCCCTTGTGGTTGTTTGAGGGTCAGGGGTGCCAACAACAACAGCATTTCGTGCATGCCCATCTTTTAAGTTTGCACTGGCTGAAGTAGACAATGATACTGCTTTCATAGGTCCCAGCGATGGTGAAGCGGACTTGGTTGAAATATCTCCTTGAGCAAGCTTAACCGAACCAGTTCTAGAGGCAGAAAGGTGTGTTACTGAACTCTTCATGGCAACCTCTGGTGAGGCACAGTGCTTGCTTCCACTTTGAGAAACTTCAGAAGGACGAGGTCTTGCGGGCCAGGGAACAGCCTGACTTGAACTGGACTTGGCATCCATCTCAGCCTCAACTCGTTTTTTCCATGTGTCAACTAGGCTCCTTGCTTTCTTCTGTATTTCTATATTCTTATGGCTCCTTAAATGATTAACAGTCTTGCCAATGTTACACATCTGTAAAGCAGTAAGATTTACAGGTAGCTTATCAAGGGCTCGTAGTACAGTTAAAAGGAAATCATCAACTGATTTATCATCCTTCGAGCAACTACCATCACCAATCCTCCCTTTTTGGACTTCCTGGAGCCACACATCAAAAACATGCAAGCCTCTGAGCCGAACAACAAAATGACTAAGGCAGTCAAACTTGTCTGTAGCTGCTATTACACTAGCAAGGATGGAGCGGCTCACCAGGTCTATTTTCTTCACATTTCTCTCGGCCATCATGAGCTGCACCAATTTCTCAACCCCTTCAGAATCCTCTAGTCCTCCCTTTTCGGTAATTTTAGTAATCTCAGATTTCAAATCAAATTCTGGTCTACCATGACCAGAATCCCCGTCCTCCATTTTACCACTACGTTCCCGTTTGACAGGCTCAGAGCCTTGATCCGCACGCTCCCTTTTCTTTCCTTTACCCGGTGAAAGAAGTGAGGAAGCATTGTTCTGTGCACTTTCTGAACCAGGTTTTAAATGTGATGTCATTGGCTTTGGAGAACGACCACCAGGTTGTACTGCTTCATGCATTTCTAAACGTGTCTTATATAAGAGATGATCTACTTCTTCTTGATGTACCTGTAAAAGGAAAAGATATCAATTACAAAAGTTCAACAATTTCAAACCAAATTACATATCTTCAGACTTCAAGAGCACCTAGAACTCACAGTAATAAAATCTTGATCAGTTAGCCACCATAAACATTTTTTTGTAATGTCGTAAACTCGGCGGCACACAAATGAGCAGATTCCTGAAGGAAGATCAACGTCTTTAGGAAGGAATGCAACTTTACACGGATGGAGTAATGACGCAGCAGGAATCTCATCCTTATGAAAGGAATAAAAGATTTCGTTTGGTGCAGCTTCGAACAGGGTGCCTCTGCCAAGCTTTAATTCAGCAGGTCGATAAAGCCAATTCACACGCAACTTTAACTTATCTTCTTTACCAGAAATTAAACAACGAATTATTCCTATAAAAGGTGGAGAATCTTGGGCTGGTTTGAAGAGAGCACAGTCACCAACACTGATCTTGCGTCCATCCTGTTAAGGGTAAAAGAGGGAATGTCAGTAAACTACTGAACCAATAATCCAGGAAGGCAAAAATTTTCAGTAAAAATATACAGCAATTTTGTATTAAAATTAATAAGTTCGATCAACAGATTGGTATTCAACAGTTATTTTTAAAAAAAACAATTGTCATGCCCATATTTAAAGTAAGCAAACTAACTCAAATAAAAATGGTAATATGAAAGAGACACAGACAACACAAACAAACAACCCTTAGCTAGCAACTAGCAAACCATTCAATTGTTCAGCAGCTTTGTTAGGGGAATAAAAGGGTTTATATATGCAGATGCACAAATAAAGATGCAATTAACCTCATTTAGAGCATGACCAGTCAGATTCTGAACAAATTCTTGAAACAGATTCCTCATTAGATGCACTATAACAAAATCTAAGAGAAAAGCGCACATAAATTATTCCCAGCTCACCAGACTTCACCATTAGAAGAACCAAGTTAGACTAATCCATATAGGTTCAAAGCATACTATACCCATTAAAGGAAACATTAAACGATAACAATCAAGGAAGCATGCTATTATATAATGCAAATCACCTGGAAATCTTTGGGTATGTTTAAGCATTTTCTTCATGATCCATTACAATCATATATGGCTTTATTGAAGAAATGACAAACATTTCTCAACTACCTTTTTGACAATTATATGCTAGAAACATTATACGACTGAAATATATACCATATCATTTCAGAAGACATAACAAAAATCAAGTACCTTCTCACTAATGTAGATGCAGGTCAAACCACACCTGTCTAAGGGAATACCTATATACTTGCTACTAAATGACACAAAAACCCTTTTTACATAGAACAAGCCACATTACAAGGAATTCACATCACTTGGATTATATGAACAAACCCCAAAACCTGACAGCAAATAATTAATTAAGTTCACATATTGCAACCATATCCAGGACCAAATACGGGAGCAATAACACCCTGAAAACTACATATAATGCAGCCAGCATCTCCAACAAGGTGAAAATTCGAGAAATACTAAAAAAGATTTGTTACTAGTAGTATCTAAGGAAATAAGACTTGTTTTCTAGGTTAATCCATCAAAGGTAGTGCATTTCTTCCTATATAATTTAGAAGGGTATCTAAGTCTAGCAAGAGTAATTGATCTTCACAACGTAATACTTTTCTATTCACCCTCTCTAAAACAATGAAACAGAAATTGTTTCCAAATGGAATACTCATCATGATTCAAATAATTCATAATAGGAAAGTTTTGAATATTTTGAACAACAATAAACCTTGTTGATTACTTCTCTGCCTCCAGTTGATAAACCAGAAACTATTTCCTCATTGACTAATTTCAGATTGCAAGCTGCCCCAAAAATTGGAAACATTTCAAACAATCTGAACAATAAAGCCAATGATTAATTCACGTCACCCTTGAACGTATGCAAATTTCCAATTTTCAGGTGCACTTGGATTAAACTATCAGTAAACTAAGCATCTCTTCTCATCTCCCAAACACTTTCCGTCAGGAATTCCCCTCTGCTTGGAAGAAGTAAAAACGCCATACGGAAAGCTGAGCAACTATTCCTCCAAGAACGCATTGAAGATTTCCAGAAAGTTCAATAGACACTATTGATATAGTCAAAAGGAAAATATATAATTCGTGTAATTGGATTTTGCACACAAATGATTCTTTCACGAAATTGTAAATTGGCCCAAGGAAGCATTCGCTTACTAATCTTACGCATGCACTTCACCAGGACAAGCCACCCAAAACATCAAAAGTTAAACGCATTCCTACCAATACAATTAAAAACTCCATTCCTTACCTAAATTTTACACCAAACGAGCACAACAACCTTCTACAAATTCCACAAACAAGCCAAAAAATACCAATTACATCAGGGCTAGTTCAACTCTATCACCCAAAATCAAGCAGCCAAGAAAAATCCCCATTTTCTTCATTTCACCAAAATCAGTCTGACAAAACCCTTCTTATCTAATCACCTAATAAAAAGGCAAAAACATAAACAAACAAAACAAGAAACCTAGAAAAATGAAGGAATTCTGAATGGGATCAAATCCAATAAAAATTGCAAAATTTTATTTAGAAAGCTATACCTTCGAAAAGAAATTAACAGTAGATGAAGAAGAATAAGAGGGATAAGCACCATCATCAGGACTTATAACCGCCGTTGCACGTGTAGGGACTGTCCACATGTGCCGTACCTTATTCCTCTCCTCACCTCCTCCCCGCCCATACATAGCCTTGCATTTTCACCTTCTAGTACCATCAATACCCCACTCCTTATTAGTATCTTCCTTTTTTCCCTTTCTAATTTGTCGCACAGCCCCGTCTTTCACCAATTCGAAACCCTACCCTGCAGCAACCTCCCAAATTGACCCTTATCCAAACCCTAAATTCCCTCAGTCTCAAATCCAAAACACTAATTCCTTTCGATCACGATCTAATTAAGTGCAGATCCCTCAACCACGCTCGATTTCTTAATCCACCTTTCGATCTATAGAACCAAGAGAAAAAATATTCGGAGCATTCAAAATATAAGAAAAATGAAGTTTTAAAAGAGAGGAAAAAAAATCGAAAAGAAAGACGGAGAGAGATGGCAAAAGCAACGTTGTAATTTGGGTTGGGTCATGTGTAAAACCGGACCGAGTAATCGGTTCAATTGAACGACTAAATTAAAAATAGTAAATTACATATTTAGTCACTCTCCGATTATTTAATTTCTATTTTGATCGCTCAACTACTATTTTTTTTAAGAAAATCACATATAATATTACAGTTTTTTTTTTCTTTCTATTTTGATGAAATTAACATGGATAAAAAACTTGAGAAGCGGCTTATAACTTTAAGTTTCCTTTCGATTCTTCCATTGTCTTAGAAGCAACCACCTTAATTTTATGGGCTATAACCATGGCATATATGTACTGTTTTATATTTTTCATCTATATGATACAACTGATAACATTTTAGCATGCAAATCATAATAAATTGATAACATCAATTAAAGAAGTAAACAGTGAGACAAAATTTTACTTATCAATAAAGTATTAAGTTAATATAATTTTTAAATATTTATCCTCGTTAAGGCCTCGATGAATACAAGTGGATTCTTTTAAAGTTAAATATATGTATTTATCTTGGTCAAACATGTAGAATAAACAAACGATAATCACTGGTTACAGTGTGATGTAATTAACAGATGTTGCTTACTTAAATAACTATAACCTTGAGAATAAAATCAAAGCTGGTTTAAGAAGAGGTGAAACTGTTAGCTTTATAATTTGACATGTTCTATTAGGTCATCTCAGTTTAATTATGATGTGAAAAATTATTGATAATTTATTTAAAAATTTATTGCAGAGCCAACATATTCTTTAAATGATTTTTTTTCATGTGACACTTGCGTAGCAAATTAATCATTCAACCATCATAAACTAAGATAAATTATGAACCTATCACTTTTCTAGATTGTATATAGGGTGATATAAGTGGGAGCGTACATCCTCCTCATGGACCATTATTAACATATGCATCGCCTAATATTCATATGTATCGTTGTTATCAATCTATAATATAGTGTATGTGAGTTTACATGTCATTAGAATTAGTATGAACATTATGAGGCTCGTCAACGCATGGGTTAATATGAAGTTTTATATGCTTATAGAATTTGAAATTATATATATGAAAAAAATATTTTTCCTTGTTATTTGTACGTAACATCTTTGGCTTAGTGTGAAAAAAAGAAATATATTATGTTACATTTACATCGTTTGCTGAGCATAACTCTTCATTATTGATCATAAATTGTATTTGGGAATTAATCTTATTTCAAAGAAAATAAATACCAACAAGGAATAAAAAATATGAAAATGTATTTAAAACAATAAAATTTAAAAGATCAACCACTTCCAACAAGGTCATGATCATCTTCACCATTTTCACAAATAAAATTTGTTTCCATTTTTTCCCTTTATCATTCAAAGATTGTTGATAAAGTTCCAAAACATTATTTGCATACGACATGTACAAGATTAATGGTTTATAGTTATGCATTGATAACATTATGAGCCTACTAGAAACAAATTCACTAGCACTTGATTTTATCTACTTAACATGTCAGCCTACAAATAGCCATTATAAACCTACAACTGAAACACACACACTAACGTATCTCTATATAACCTCTCGAGTACGAACGAGAGATGGGAAACAACCTTCATGAAATCACCTCACCTTAACCCTTCTATGATCCACCTCCTTATGGAGAAGGATTTTGATTGATTTTCTATCGGCTGCAACTCTTTGCCCAAACCAGAAGAGATCAACCGCTAATAACTGCTATAACTCATTTAGTCCCATCAACAAAGATAACACGAATGTATTTAAATTCTTCAATTATAAAAATGAACCTAGATAAAATTTGAAACTAATATTTATATTAAACCAAATCAAAATATAAATAATGTATCTCTAAATGAGACATGAATTTAATCAAACATATAATGCGTGAACTTTTTTCTAAAAAATATTGGAATAAGTTTGAGTCAAACTATGAATATATAAAATTTTGTGGGAAATGAATCGAAGAAGCATCATTATCGGATGACCAATTCCCTTTCAATCATTTGGCAAGCAGGTACCGCATCTCTCGGTCAGCCTCCTCGTATATAAACCCTTCATCCCCTTCTATGCATTTGTGTCCATCCACAATCCAAAGTCCAAAACTCCATTTGTTCAAGCTACATCCGCAAGAAGTTTCTCACTTTCTCTCAACCTGATGGACAACTTGATGGGTCTGCTGCGGGTCCATGTCAAACGAGGCGTAAACCTTGCTGTTCGGGATGTCCGAAGTAGTGACCCTTACGTTGTTGTTAAGATGGGCCACCAAGTCTTTTTCTTCTTCTTCTTCACTATAATTTTTCACCTTCATAGCAATGTTAATATATCTATTTTTTTGTGTGCAGAGACTCAAGAGTCGTGTAGTAAAGAAGGATGTAAATCCTGAGTGGAATGACGATTTATCAGTCTCTTGATTACTATATACCATAACTTGATCCTTAAGGCATTCCTTTGTTTACCTATTTGTACATGATTCCAGACCGTGTACGACCATGACGCATTTACTAAGGATGAAAAAATGGTAGACACTGAATTTGAGGTTAGGCCATATATAGAAGCCTTGAAAACACATACCAATTTGGAAGAAATCCCAAGTGGAACCGTGCTATCAAGATTACAACCAAGCACCTCCAACTGCCTGGCTGAGGAGAGTCCCGTATACTTGAACGAAGGGAAGATCGTCCAAGACCTTGTCCTCAGATTACGAAACGTGGAGTGTGGTGAAGTGGAAATTCAACTCGAGTGGATTCACTTTCCTGGCTCTAAAGCGTTCCTAAGTCAATGAATGTTTGTGACCCCTTTAAGATAATTGAATCCCTTAATTCAAGTTTAGGGTTTCAGATGAACTTTCTTTAAATTAAAAATGAAGATCACCAATTGAAATCCAAGGATGAGATCTTACCAAATCTGTAATCAAAATGTGATTTGGATGAGAAGATTTACTTAATCTCTAATTTTAGTATTTAGGGTTTTGAGCTTTTAGGGTGATTTCAATAGTGGTTTTGGCGTGGAAGAAGATGAAGAAGGCTTACCTCTTTGCTCATTTAACCACATGGCTAATAGGAGAAAACCCTCTCCAAATGGTTTACTTAAGACAAATTAAAGAAATATTATAAGAATTTATCACCTAAGTAGCTTATTCACCAAAAACAAATTGGTAAAATATTGGAACCAATCTTTCATCTTTTCACCATTTTCAAATAATCATTGCATGATTTAGTTACCCCTTAGCCATTTATATTTTCCCTTGTTTTCATTTGAGCACCTAGCTTTCCCTTTTCACTAAAGGCATCACATTCTTCATTTATTCAGTACATCTTGGATAATCTGAAGAAGAAGAAAAGACATAAGAAGGGCTGCGTTAGAAAGTTCAGCATAATCCGAAGAAACAATAAACGAAAGTGCAACATAATATAAACATTAAAGTTCAATGTCGTTTAGCATTCAGTCAGATAACAAAAAAAAATGAAACTTGTCATAAAATCAATTTACGATACTATAGACACCTGTTTTTGTCCGGGTTCTACATTTTATTAATTTAATATTATTATTAATTTACATATTACATTTTGTAGGGCCCAATTGAAACCCAAAATATAAAATTACACAAGCCCACCCATATTACAATAGCCCATCAACCCGAAGCCCACTCAACAGACCCAGTTGCAAGATCCGACCCTACTTCAGTCCACCCGAACCGGCCCAGCACCAGACCCAACACAGATGACCCAATACCAAGCCCATCATCTAACTCAAATTAATTAGGGTTTTTGAACCCTAATCCCACCCACCCACCCACTATCACCGCTACCAGCAACCACCAAACACCCAATCGGCGTATGTACCCCACCGGGAGCTTCCTCAGCCGTGTGTGTAACACCCCCAACCCGTATCCGACCCGGATACGAGTCCGAAGTGTCACATTGACTTTTCAAACCTTGACTCTTAAGAAAAATCCCGGGAAATTTAAAACTTTATTTAAAACAAAATACAGACTTTATCAGAGTGCTCGTACTTAATGACTTATTACATGCCAACACTTTATACATAACCAAAAACATACTTTGTCAAATATTTCTGATCTGATCTTTTGGTAAGGAAAACTGACCTGTCTTGCTCCGCATCACTCCTTACTCTTCTCGAAACCTACGTGTGAAACAATCACACGCTAAGTCGAAGACTTAGTGAGGCATAACCACTTATAATGCACTTTAAAACATATATATTGATACATGCATGTTCTGTTCTATCATGTTATAGCAAGTCCAGGCATTTTTCATATCGTATAGAATCATATCAGATTAATCGCAGTAAATTCATACATACACATAATTCATCATTCACATGTTATCATATAATCACATACTTTTTCAATCAAACACTATACACACAACATCATATAAGTTCTATAGCATTTATCATACCACTAACTTATATTTGTTCATATCTCTGGATTAGCCCATGTATATATGTGAGAACTATCGATATGTGAGTCTATAGAGGTTGTGCACTATGCTGTCACCACAGCTCGTATAAATGCACCGAAGTGCCCCGTAGAATTGCACCGAAGTGCCCGTAGAATTGCACCGTAGTGCCCGTAGAATGATGTCCATAAGGACCACGTAGAATTCCTTAAGAATCATATACATATACTATGGATCAAGTATGTGTCTTTCAAGACTTCACACAGGTTCCAAAGGATATACATATGTCCTAAAGAACCGAATAAACCCTCGACTCTTGGCATGCCAACTATACCCCTAGCTCTCATGACACATAACATGGGCGTTATCATTTCTTTCATTTCAAATATACACATAAACTTGTAATTCACTTTCACATATCACGTATCACATAGCTTCTTTTCATATGATCACATAGTCACGTAGTTCACTTACCCGTAGATCATTTCCATATAATTCACATGTCACATATGTCATGTTTTCATATAATTTCTATCATTTCTCACCCAATCACCTTTATTCCTATAAACATACTTATCATATCTTGTTCACATAAGATCATATACTTCATATAATATATCGAAACACCTAGAACACTTTCACGTAGCTTATAGTCATAAGTTTTGTCTCGTATCATATACTTGTTTTCACATATATATTTCCTATCAATTCTTATACCATCACATAATTCCTTTAACATACATAACATATCATGTAACATTATAATAGAAATACTTATAAGTCATATCACTTAAAGCACATATACTTATAGTCACATTGCTTATATCTTAATCGTATGCCTTCTCTTAAACATATATATTCACATGTTCAGGTAATTCACCATTTCATCACATAATTGGGTATTCATATAACTCATTTCATTTCATTTCATATCTATCTATATATATATATCCTCAAGATTATCCTAATATAAATCATATAGCATTCTTATATTTCGTATTCATCTAGGGCAGACTTATAAACATATCTCACTTCTATTATTTCTATATATAATCTAATCTGTTACTTAATTCAATTTCTTATAGCTCTTATAATCTTCTCATATAACTTCACAAATTTCTATCATTCAACCCATGTGTTATAGTTTTATTTAAACCTATGAATCTTTCCCATCTAGCTTATCTTATACGTTCATCTTATCATTTATGTTCAAATCCCCTAGTTGGTGTACTATTTCACTTCATCCTATAGATCAATATTATCCAGTTTATTTCACTTATCATATAAAAATATAATTATATTTTACTATGATCACATAGTTTATATCTCATACTTTGCTTTCTCATGTTCACCTATATCATGTCATATGGCTCATATCTTTCTCATGCAGTCACATAGTTCAGTTTCACATATGTATATATATATATACCTTATATAGCACATACTTCTCATAACATTACATTCAAAAGCATGTCAACACATATATTCATGCATACATACAATTCATGTCATTCATATACGTATAATCATATATTCATGCATTCTAACATAGGAAATAGACTTGTCGCAAGTCTTGTTTCCATTTAGCACCATAAACTAACTAATATGCACTCACCTGGCCTCACTAGCCAAATCCAATCTCTTATCTTTCCCTTGATCGATCTTACTTGCTAAACGTTCCGGAATTGCTTTATGCGTAGAATCTACATAAATGTACATTTCGAGACCATCATTAGATACCTACACCTTGTAATTGGATACTATCAATTTAAACGAACTTATTAAATCCATATCCCCAATTTTCCTTTAGGGGGAATCGGTTCCCCCCCCATGGGGTATCGGTTCCCCTATGACATACTGGAAATTCTTGTTCGTTTGAAGGGGTATCGGTTCCCCTTGAATGGGTACCGATTCCCCTTGCCCAGAAATCATATTTTCAACCCGAAAATTACTTCATTTCCTCTCAAACACTTCATATATCATCCCCTTTTCATCCTTAACTCTAGTACACATACTTAAACCAATCTATATTCATTTATTTCATCTTAAACCTCAAAATTCTATCTTCCATATAAGATTCAAAATCATACCAAATTTCCAATGTGTTCTAATTCCAATTCTAACACTTCCTACCTCTTAATTTAATCCTTGACAAGTCAAATTCAACTTCACAATCTATTAACTCCTTCCATATCAAAATTCACTTAAAAACTCATTTTTCTTAATTTCTCATAACTTGTTAATCTTTGAGGTTTAAGCCCCCTAAAGCTTTCCTTAATCTTTCTTAATATCCCAAGAATCAAAACAAGCTTTAAAACGAAAGAATTAACCAACTAAAGACTCACTTACCTTATACCAAGCTTCACGGTGGAGAGGAGGAAGAAGAAGACTGAAGAATGCTCTGGACTCTTCTTCATACGTGCTTATTACCCTTAAAAAAAATTATAAAAAATCTTTCTGGTCAAATGACCATAATACCCTTAATTTCCTTTAATAATTACCAAATAACCTTCAATATATATATTCAAATAATCATTGAATTCTTTCATTCTTCTACTTTAGTCACCAAATTCTGAAACTTTACAATTTGGTCACTAACCCGGTATTGCGGATGTTACAAATCTCCCCTCCTTTTTAAAAAAAATTCGTCCTCGAATTTTTCACTAAACAACTTAGTAAGAACATATCTTCTAATGTTCTTATGTTACTTCTTTTACTTAATCCTTCTTTCTCTTAGTTCTTCAACTACCTTTTTCCTTTATACATCCTTATCATGTTACTTATCATATAACCAATAGCATCAGTTCTTATCACTCAAAATCCTTAATCAATCAAATTCTTTATCAATCTTTAATTACCTTATAACCATACCAACTTGTATTTCGTCATCATTTGACCAAAACTCAACTTTAAATCTTCTTCAATGTGATTAAACATATACTTTAAGGAGTCAAACAATATTTTCACATCACCTTGCACACTGGTCTTATTTCCATATCAAAAATTATCCTCTGTACTTCCATATTTATCGTATATGATCCTTTAAATCAATCCCTTTCATTTCTTTATTCCTTATTCCTTATACATTAATCATATATTTCCTTTCATGTTCACATACTCTTGTCTTATTACTTATACTCATCTTTATGTACCAATCTTCATTGCATCCTCATTACTTTAATAACCCATTTCTTATACATAACTTCATTCTTTATCATTTCTTATACTTGTATTTTCCTTCCTGAAGGTTCCATGCAAATACTTATCTCAGTTTCTACATCATAGTTATCCGCTCAGAATATACAATCATATTCAAATTCACATCATAATCAATTAACTCCACTTTGTCTTTTCCTTCAGT